GAGAGAGAGCGCTGAATTTCTTTTCGAATTGTATAGTTTTCGTGATTGATCCTGAACTTCCGCGGTGGCATACTTATTATTTTCAAATTTACGCCTTTTCAATAAGCACAAGCAAAATGTCGTCTTCTTGTCAGCCACTACAAATACCACTTTAAATATGACAGGTCGACCCTAGGAAGCTGAAGTTCTTGAATGTTATCACAATTGGACAGCTGGGTTTTACTCGGTTATTCATATCATTTTGAACTGCATTCTTTTAGTAAGTTTTTCTTTTCTTTTGATGCATAGCCCGGCATCTAAATCAGAACAAAATGGGGACTGACAATAACCCTCCAATTTCCCTGTCCCTGAGGCCTCTTAATCTCAGTACTCTGATAATATCTTTCAAGCTTTATCTCCCTGCTGTTTCCATTTTAAGAAACAGTTTTTCTATTTTTCTAATTGTGGTTTCTTTCCTCGAGAATGTCTATCTACTCTTTCAGGTAAAAAAGCAGTCTTTTACCAAGTCTTTGCAATGCACATTGAAAGCAGCTCACAACACTGATCTCTCTTCCGCGTTGACGTAAAGTGGCGTGTACACTTGTGTGAGATTTCGCAGCTTTGGTGACCACAATTCGATTTGCCGATTCGACTTGGTCGTCGCCTTTGTGCTGAAAGCAAACACGTTCGTTCTTCTGGAATGTCATTGTCAGTTTACATTGTCTGCTATTATACGGTCTGAAGAAACAACTCAGGACGAATAAATTAAGAAGAATATGGTCGGTTCCTTTACCATTTGAGTGTAATTACCTTAATCTAAAAAAAGCACCCAAATCAGTATTACCTTCAAGGACGAGGGGGGAAAAAGAAATGCATTTGACTATTATTTGAGACAAATGGTCGCTTTTAAGGACAAGTGGGCTAACCCAGATTTCGAAGGTTTCCAGATTTTTTGACCTACACCAAATGTGAGCATTGCCCTACCTGTAGGATAAGTTTACTTTTATTGGTGTGTATATTTGTTTGGTTATACAGAAAACTCTCCTTGTCTTTTAAAGAAACTGACCAAGGGGCAAAAACTTTACCTTCGATTTTCTCAAAACAGCATTTTTCGGAATAGCCCCCTTGTGCTTAAAAGCGAACAACCGGCACTGTGACATCGATTAAGTAAAAGTCAAGCAGCCCATGTTACGATTCTATAGTTTACAACGGAATTACACTCAGAAGTTTTAGTTCATTCATGGTGGCTCTGCATGATAATGATGTATAAGCGCACTGGGAATAGTAACTTTAAGATCCGATCAAATTAGATTGTGAAAAACACCCGTTGGAGAACAGGACACCTCCGCTTAACTCACTGAAAACGCGCCTTCTGATCAATTGACACGTATAATTTAGTTATTCATATCGATATTTCTATTCGGTTGTATTTTAAAATTTGAAACAACATGCCTACTATGAAATATTGAGCAAATTTGTGTTTCTGATTCGTGTATGAAGGTTCCAAGCGTGCCACAAAAATCCTGCGACGTGCTGAAAGAGTTAACCTGAGATTGTGACGCCACGGCATCGCAATGAGTGGTGTACAATGATTGGGCCATCAACAAACCCGACAACCGTCAGAGTAGGCTGGTGTGATTCGAGGATCGCAGAGTCCGTGACAAGGACGTCTCTCAGGGCCATTTCTGATTTTTTTCTCAAACCACTTTACGGAAGAATTAATCGACGAAAAAGCGAAGAGCATCGCAAACAGGGCGACACCTTAACCCGCACAGTTCCAGAAATCTACCCCCCACCCCACCCCCAACACACACACCTCCAACCCACCCGGAAATAAACACAAATATTCCAACAGTAAAATTCTGCTTCAGCCCCTCGGTTATTTGAAATTTTGCAAGTGTAGTGTAGTTTGTGTGAAAGGTGACTTATTTTTTAACGACATACATGGTAGTCCCAACCCCTGTTTACTCATTTCATCTTTCGTTGTTGATATTTGCAGCCCTTGTTTACATTGATTTCGGCTATATAAAAATGTCACCCACAATAACTTCCTGATAAGGCCAAAAAGCTGATTTTGGAAAAGTGTCACCAACCGTAACCTTTCTATTGGACTATATAAAGCCCCGTTGATACAATAATCGAAAGACAGTGTGGGGGGCTTAATGTCACTAGTAGCAGAAGTGCTTTTCGATCTCAGTATGTTCAAATGTCGTTTCAGGGGAAGATCCAAAAAAATTCAATATCACACAAAGAACTGAACGGCAAACGACGACCAGAAAAGGTTATACACCCCATTCCCCTCTTTTCATTTCCTCCTCTCATTAAACCCCTAAAACAACATAACATGATTATAATATTTTTTGAAAAAAGGAACAAAATGGAAGCCTAGGAGAATATGCCGACACGACCAACAGCAGGCAGCTTGACATACCTTGGTACATACTGCGGGATAAAAATCGAGTGCAGAGATACACATCAACACGATAACGGTAATGTAGTGCTGAGAGAGAGAGAGAGAGAG